TCGAAAAATATACAGGGAAATTTAAAAGAAAATGCACAATTTTCAACATCTTTTTTTGCGAAAAAAACCTCATAGACGTTTTCCTGGGGTCGAAATATACCACCATTGAAAACTTATTTGCACTTATTTAAGACTCACCCTGTATATGTATGTTGTCTGTGTGTGCACGTTTTATTTGCCTTTTAAAAATTAGGAAGTTTTAACAAAAAGTAACAAATCTACGTTCAGGATGGAACAAAAAGAAGATTATTGTCATTATGAAAAATACCAAGTTAATGGTCGAAATGTCATGATTTTTTTTATCAATAAATAATAAATTAATGGACTAAATCTCTAAAATATTTATTTACACCTGACCTCAAACCAAGCATAAAATTTACTTAAAAAAAATATAAGAGATAGATATAGGTTAGTATAATAGAAAAATTATGAGATATGAGAATAGTTTCCAAAAATTTAATAATATACTGGGTGTTCCATTTAAAATAACAAAGATGCTGCAAATTTTCAAATGATCCGGCAACACTCTAACGCTGATATTATTTTAAATAGATGAAACAGAAGCCTTTATATAAAAATCCAAATTTTCAAATCACCGGTCCTCCTATTACCATCGCCGGAAAGTCGGTTACCGGAAGCGGGTCTTTTGATCCATAAGAATATTTCGAGATTTTTCATTTTTTCTTTTCATTATAAGCTTAAAGCTACGTAAAATTCGAAATTTGAAGTTAGTGACACATCTAGAAGTACCTTAGAATTTTGATGATGAGTCAATGTCGAAATTAAAGAAATTTGACAAGCGATAATTCATAAATTATGAGGTATACTTACTCAATATTTTAGTAACCTAGCCAGTTATAGTATGTCTTCATGTGTAGTGAAAATTAATATACCTGCTTCATCCACAACGAAGTTTCAGGGTGGTCAAAAGTGCCTTCGAGAAAAGGATGGTACGGCTCTGCTCGACTTGGCTATACTGGGTGTTGCATCGTCGAGCGGGACATAGGAAATCCCATGTAAATTTTAATGGGGTCAATTATTGTCTTCCCTAATTATTTTAGGGAATAATTCTATTTAGGTTTCTAATAATTCTATTTAGGTTTGAAGAGCACTAAAACCCACATTCAAAAGAATAACTTTAGATATTTTCGATTAGCCCGTTTACGAGTTATCGCCGATTTCTTTTTAAATATGTCTCCTTTCTTATGGCCCTGTATTTAATTATGAGCACCAGTCAAGGTAAAGGATAACTGTCAAATAAAGTTGTCATTTCAGAAATTTATCTATTTAGTGCTTTATTATTATTATTATTAGAAACTCATACCTATATCGAAAGTATTAGCCATGAATTACACTACCGAAGAAAAAGTATTGATGATTAAATGGTATTATCAAGGAAATAGTTACCAAAAGGTGTCGGACATGTTTGCTGCTTTGTATCCGAATAGACCGATACCTGGAAAATCTACAATCGCAAGGAATATCCAGAGATTTGAGACCAATGGTACCCTAATAAATATCTGCAGATGTGAAGCAAGGCAGGAACAAAGAGAAGATGCAAGAAATGATATCGATTTGGAAGTTTTATTGTGCGTGGAAGAGAACGATGGAAAGATCAGCACAAGGAAACTTGAGGATGAAATAGGAATAGATCACACTACAGCATTGCGAATTTTGAAACGACATAAATACTATTCCTTCAAATATGAAAAGCACCAAGAGCTACGAGATGGGGACGAAATACGGCGGCAGGCGTTTTGTTTTGATATGATGGAATGAGCAAACACGGATAGGGAATTTTTAAAAAACATATGTTTCACTGACGAATGCACGTTTACCTTAAATAATGAACCCAATGTTCAAAATTATTGATATTGGAACAAAGAAAACCAACACAGGCTTGAAAGTAAATGTTTGGGCAGGAATATTCGGACACAATATTATCGGGCCATTATTCCTTACACGAAATTTAAATGCAGAATATTATTTGGAACTACTCGAAAATCATATTTTACCTGCTTTACATGATGCCGCTAGGGAAAATCAGGAAGTTTGGTATCAAATGGATGGCTGCCCGGCACATAGTACCCTGGCTGTTCGGGAATATTTAGACAATAATTTTAACGGAAACGTTATTGGCCTAAATCATACAAATGATTTCTTTCTCTGGAGCCATTTAAAAAACAGGATATAAAAGGATAAAAAATACCCAAATCTAGACGAGTTAAAAAATGCTATTTCTGTCGAATGCAATAGAATTTCAGTTTACCAACTAGCGAATGTAAGAAGAGAATTTTATGATCGTTTGGGTTATTGTCTAGCAGTCGATGGAGGAATATTTGAACATCTTCTTAAATCCTAAAGTTGTAACAATTTAATAGTACCTAAATTAATAAGTTATTGAATATTGTAATAATGCTATAATTAACCTTGTAATTGATTACTTTATTTTACTTTAATTCATATTAATTTGTATTTATAAATACATCTTTAAGATTTAGGAATGAGTTTTCAATAATAATAAAGCACTAAATAGGTAAATTTCTGAAATGACAACTTCATTTGACAGTTATCTTTTAAGGCCATAAGAAAGGAGAAATATTTAAAAAGAAATCGGCGATAACTCGTAAACGAGCTAATCAAAAATATCTAAAGTTGTTCTTTTGAATGTGGGTTTTAGTGCTCTTCAATAAACCGAAATAGAATTATCCTCTAAAATAATTAAGGAAGCCAATAATTGACCCCATTAAAATTTACATGAGATTTCCTATGTCCCGGCCGACGATGCAACACCCGGTATAATAGATAGGCTATATAATACCGGATGCGTCTCAAAAGTGGCTCACCCCTATAACTTTTTTATTTAATTAAAAAACGAGATTTGGTATGTTAGTATATGACATAAATTAGGATTGATTTACGAATTCAATTGTTTTCGGTCACTTCCTGTTACACCGGAAATGACTACAACTTTTGATTTTTAAATGGCACCCTTCGTATTTTTTTTACTTTATTCGATAGAAAGTAACACTCTGAATTGAATGACATATTATATGTCAACTTTTGGCATTTTCGCATATGGTTTATTTGAAACTATAACTTGCGGTTCGTAACGAAAATTTGACTCGAAATACCAAGTGTGTGGTACCAAATTATTTGTAAAAAAATGTTTTTTCTAAATATGCTAAATGAGCCAATCCTCGTTCAATTTAAAAAAATTAAGATATAATTAAAAATACGATTTGAGCATTTTCTAACCGGCTAGGACAAGACACTAAAAACATTAGTCAATCAAATCTAATTTTGCAAGGCTCCTTTATTAAGAATTAGTGTTTTTAACATAGCCATGACACTCTAGATTGCATTTTAAAATATGATTTTTTCTTAAGCAAGAATGTCAAATGTTGACATATGATATGTCAATCTATTCAGAATGTCATTTTCTATCGAATAAAGTAAAAAAATATCGAGGGTGTCCTTTAAAAATCAAAAGTTGTAGTAATTTCCAGTGAAACAGGAAGTGACAAAAAACAACTGATTACGTCAATCAATCTTAATTTATGTCATATACTAACATACCAAATCTCGTTTTTTTATCTGAAAAAATAAAAAAGTTATAGGGGGTGAGCCACTTGTGAGACGCACCCGGTATACTATATACAGGGTGTTTCAAAACAAATGCGAAAAACTTTAGGGGGTGATTCCTTGTTCAAAATAAAGGGTAGTTTGCTTTATAAACGTTGGGTCAAAAGTCAATCATTAAGGAGATATCGCGGTACAAAGATGGCTGAAAAATAATGTTTTTATTTTTTATCTTGAAAACGAAAAGAGATAGACTAATGAAATTTTATGGAAGCATTACTGTTATGAAAACACACTTTCAGGTAATTTTTTTACTTTTTTAAAATGAGTGGAAGGGGTTGAAATAAACTACCCCTATCATTCTTGTTAACGAAATTTAAAGAAAAATCTTATCAAACACATGCAAATGCTTTAATTTGGATAGTTTAGTTTATTTAGAAACTTTTTTGCCTCTTGTGTTTTTTTGATAAAACTCACCGATTGGAAATTAAAAAATAAAATGTAAAGCTTTACATGTCAGGACAAAAACCATTTTTAGATTAAGAATCTAGTGATAATAACGGTACCTAATAATAATCATCTAGATAATAACGTATTGCAGTAGAGTAATGTCAAATAAAATAATATTAGGAACATCCTAAAAAGTAACAGCGGCCGACTAGATTTTTTCCTAAAAAAATTACAGCAGCCCACTAGATTCTTTATCAGAAAATGTTTTTTGTCCTGACATGTAATGCTTTACATTTTATTTTTTAATTTCAAATCGGTGAGTTTTATCAAAAAAATACATATTAATATATAATACATAAATTTAAGAGATAAAAAAGTTTCTAAACAAACTAAACTATCCAAATTAATTTTTTTGCATGTATTTGATAAGATTTTTCTTTAAATTTCGTTAACAAGAATGATAGGGGTAGTTTATTTCATCCCCTTCCACTCATTTTAAAAAAGTGAAAAAATTACCAGAAAGTGTGTTTTCATAACAGTAATGCTTCCATAAAATGTTATTAGTCTATCTCTTTTCGTTTTCAAGATAAAAAATAAAAACATTATTTTTCCGCTTTTTTTCTTTGTACTGCAATATCTCCCTAATGGTTGACTTTTGACCCAACGTTTATGAAGCAAACTACCCTTTATTTTGAACAAGGAATCACCCCCTGAAATTTTTCGTATTTGTTTTGAAACACCCTGTATAATAGATTATAAAAACATGTCTAGGTCGACGTTATGTGAGAGATTCCCTTGGGTTTACATCAAAATGTCTCACCAAAACACGATTGTTTCCCAAATTGATATAAACCCAAGTCTGCAGTAATTGAAGTCTTAACAATAAAATATGTCCTATTTTAATATATTCCGAAAATGTTAGCGCGCTTACCGCCACAAGCTACTATCTTTTCTTTTATTCGTTTCAGATCTCTTTTGAATCCTTCTCCGTGGGAAGTTTCGAGTCGTTTACCGCCACCGGCTGTCCGGACGGATACATTTCGATAAAGGAGGCGAATCGTCCCGCGTCGGGAGGAAAATGGTGCGGCAGTTCGTGGGGATACACCGTATATTACAGCGAAACTTCCAGTATTAATCTCACTCTGGCGGTGGAGAAGCTGTCTCAGGAGGTAAGGAAATATGACCGTTTGATTTATCTCGTGTTCCTGGTGCGATTTTTATCTAGTTTTTTTCTAGAATCTTTAGAAAATGCAAGCTTTGCGTTACTTGGTCGTTTATTCATTATTATGAAGTGTAAGTTGTGCACATATTCATGAACAAAATAATTATAAATAAAATTGGTATACTGGATGATTTTCGAAAGTGTCTCACCTCTATAAATTTTTTATTTTTTTAGATATAAAAAACGAGATTTGGTATCTTAGTACATGACACAAATCAAGATTAAATAACGTATTCAATTAGTTTTGGGTACTTCCTGTGACCTTCTGATACTTCTAATAAATGATGTTCTTAATAGAATGACATAACATATGTCAACTTTTGACATTTTTAATTTAAAAAATAGTATTTGTTTTTCCTGCTCCTGTTAAAAGATGCTTAAATCGTATTTTAAGTCATAACTGGCATTTCGATCCTGAGGCAGAAAAGACCTTCTAATAAATAACACAAAACTGGAAATAGTAGAAGGATACATATATTTGGGACAACTAATGCAAAGCTCTGTATCTCTACTACCAGAAATCAACACAAGTATTAAGTTAGCATGGAGTACTTATGGAAGAAACTCAATCATATTCAAATCTAGAAAGAAGATCTGCCACTTTATCTAAGGAAGAAAACATTTGACCAACTATGAGTCATGACCTATGCATGCAAAACCTGGACAATTAAAGGTTGATTTTCACTATACTTTCCGTATCAGCTCCCTTCCGTTTACATAAAATATTATATCATGTAAATGCATAGGACAATGCACAGTATCCGTTCCGTTTCCCTTCCGTTCCATATCCTACCTTCCATACATTTTTTGGCGGACGGACTAAAGCGTATCGGACATACTAAAGCGAAATTGACAGCGTTGTCAATTTCTTACATTTTTACCTGCTCTGTTAACAATTTGCTAATATTTATTTATTCTTTCACCTCTTAATTAAGTCTATTACCCTTTTCAAAAGATACAAATATTTAAAATAAAACTTTCGTAATGATATAAATAGTACAATATAAAGTATAGAACTGATACGGAACGGAAGCTTACGTATAGCTTCAATACAATAAAAAATACGGAATGGATATGGTATGGAAACGGAAGGAATAGTGAGCCTGCATCCACATGGGTACGTGATCACGGACATCCGTATCTCTTAAACGTATACGTGAATTTTAAGCCATCCAAATAGAGCATCCGTTGTTACCTTTGAATAAGAAGACTATAAGGAAGGAGCATAATGCTATCCATGTATTCATGCATGGTGGGTGGAAAAAGGACTCTAGGGTGGGGATCCTTGACAGTTCTGTTTGACACATTGTTGTTGATTCATTTGACACATTTGAATTTGATTTGAAATTTTGTGGATTTGTCAGTCTTTACGGAGCTTATTTTATGTTATTTATTATTTATTCTACTACTGATAGTTGTATAAAGGTAGTCAATCTAGATGGAAATTGTGGCAGAACTTAAATTAACAGTGACACTATCGCGATTTATCGAAAAGGACTCTAAAATAGTTGATTGTGTAGCATGCAGTAGATCTCGGCAAAAATCGAGTGAAATAATGGAACAACTTTTCGCTAGTAAGTGACTATATAATATACATACGTGTAGTAAACCGATTATTTATGAAATTCACTTAAATTAACTAATTATATATTTTTTCTTGCATTTTTGCTTTTATTTACTACTTGTCAAAGATTAGATGTCAAAGAATTTAGATACGTCAATTTGACTTACCTGCTTCAGTAGCGTATCGGATGTTTATGGTTATAAATAATTATTATAACTTATCTATTTTTATTAGATTTTTATATTTTTATAACAATTTTAATAACTACCAACATTTATTCACAACGTAAAATAAAAAAAAAATATTGAGTCTACCCCACGTCTACCCTACATTATAGTTTTACATTTTTTAAATAAACTTAGAACGGCACTGATAAACCGGAATTTAAGTCGGATATATTTGAGGCCCATCGCGGTGGACCTAAGATTTTTGATATGCTCCTTTCTTAGTCTTCTTATGCAAAGGTTGTTACGTATCCGTGATTGTCAATATTGTCAATTGCCATTTCGTTTTATTGTTGTTTGGTTCTGTGGACTATTTTTTTATTGAATGTTTTGAACTTTTGAATTGCCGTATTTTATTAATATTTCTGTGTAAATTGTTTATTTTCTGCCAGAATCTACTTTTTTTGAAGAATGACTAGTAATAATTATCTTTTACTCCTTGGAGCTATGTCCAAGAGGTTGAAAAAGAAAACTGTGCGGCAACGATCAAGTTATCGTCAGAAAATTAAAAAAGTTATTTTTAGTGACTATTTATTAGACAGCCACAATATCCACATTTGAACCGCATTTGTTAAGCCGACATCGTAAAACTCAAACTTTCAAAACACGAGTTCCAAACACCAAAAACAAAACAGCCAAATAAATTTAAATAATGTAAACAAACAGCTCCCAAAACGGACAGAAAACACGTACTGAAGTTAAAATTAACCAACTTCTCTCCGTGATGACCTTCACGGACGTACGTAAAACCATCCAGCAGTCTGATTGGTTGGCAGTAATCACGTGGTTACAATGGATCCGTGATCACGTACCCATGTGGATGCAGGCTGAGAATCGACCTTAAAACGGACATTATAAAGAAACTGCAGGTCGCACAATGCTCAATGGAACGAAATATGCTGGGAATAACCAAGAAAGACTGTAAAAGAATAGGGCGGACATGACAAAAGACCCAGGTAATAGATGTCATCCACAGAATCAAATCCCTCAAGTGGCAATGGGCAGGACACCTGGCAAAAACGATGAACAACAGATGGACCATTAAAATTACAATATGGTAAAATTACAGAATGGTACCCACGAAAAATTAAGAGATCTAGAAAAAGACTACACCCGAGATGGGACCATGATATTAGAAAATTATCAGGAATAACTTGGGCTCGCATAGCCAACAATAGACACCAATAGGCCCAACTACAAAGAGAGTATCTAAAAATGTGAGGGAGGATACACCATAATTGGAAATGGTTGGATCAGCTGACAATGATGATGATGATGATTTTCTTCCTACTCTATATTAGGCAAATTGCCTGTTCATTCTTTACAGCACGCCTACAATTTTAATCGAAAGTAAGGTTATCGCCCCAGTTTTAAAGCACTAAGCACTTTTTTAAGTAGATATATCAAATATCAAATTATATACACACGAATATGAAAAACTATTAAACGTGTTTTTAGCATTTTTTTAATTATCATAATACTGCTATTTAGGATACGCAATTTATAAATCCATCTAGGTAATACTTATAATAAATATCCACATAGAAACAACAGGTCTTGTACACCTACCATATTACTAATATACATAAATTCTAAAACTAATATAGAATAGTAACAATACAGTAACATTACAATTGGGGGTTGGCTCCTTTGGTGATATAACAGCAAAATAAAACACTATTTCACCACAATAATACACCAAATCACTTTTACTTTTGCACTGGACGCGCGTTTATCATTTTAGCATCATGAGCAGATGATTAAAACTAAACTAATATCAGCAAATTTATGGTTTATATAGGTACTCAGTTAGTACCGAGTAGGCGTGAAATCTTTTCAAAATTTGTCAATAAAAATTATTTTGAGGGAAAATAAAACTAATTTTATTAAAAAACATACCATTAAAATCTCTATAAAAGGCAGTAATCGAGTGTAACGTATAAAACGGAAAATAGTCGTCATTCTGAGTGAAGCGAACACAAAGCAGCCAAATTAGCATTTAGTATTTATAAATTAAGCAATCAACAATAGACTATGACACGCGATTGTGCAGATTTTGTTTCGCTACCGAACATGCAAAACAGACAATTGGTTCCCTAACACAATTTTACATTTCACCGATAAAATGTTGAAATCACAATACCCATTTAAAAAGATCTATCGGATAAATTATTTTAAATTCTACACTATTACTAAAAAAACTTAATTAAAATTTATTTATATTAAAATTATATATAAAAAATAATATTTAATTAAAAATTAAATATTAATTTTTAATATTCAAACATAACTAAAAAGCAGTAACTTAAAAGTAGTAATGAGCAAATGCAAGCTCAAGGTCTAGGTCTTGCAATGAACAAGTAATACATTAGTAATAAATTAAAACAATAAGTCTTGCGTGCCTAGTCTTGGTCTTGGTCATGCGGAAGCCTTGGACTGGTCGGTGTTAGTTTTGGTCTAGATCTTGATCTTTTGTGCAAGATCAAGACAAGTTTAGCTCATCACTACTTAAACGTAAGTTTCTCATCGACGCACAGTAGATCGACCCAATGTAATTTGTTGGACATACAGCAACTATGCAAAATTTCTAACCTGAGAGACTTTTTTGAACAAAAGTGTCCTAGAAACTTCAAATTTGTTAAAAATAATATACTAAATAAATAAATAAATAAAGATAACTTTATTTTCGATAACTTACAAAATAGTTTACGGGTGTTTCCTAGAATGTATTTTATTTGAATTTTCGTATTAAATTGACTATTACAAATTAAACTGCATAATTTTATACTTCTCCTAAAATTTAATTAACTTTTTATCTTATTTTTATTTTATATGAATTATGAACTTACGATTTGTCCAGTTTTTAATACCAACATGTATTCAATAACAATAATTTTCGAAGTCTTATTTATTAAAGTACGTCTACTAAGCTTCATTTTTTTTACATCGTACCCCCAATTTTTCTGTACATAATTGGATATAGCATCAAATTTTGCATATAGTACCTCATATTCAGCTCCATTTAAATTAAACAAGTTATTGCCGTTTAAATCTAATAATTATTTAAAGTATTTTTGTAAGTGTAGCTTTAATAGCTATTCAATAATTCCATCACTCATAATTTCCACAAATCTAGTCATTTGGCAACAATACTCCGAG